TTTCATCGGTTCTGGGAAACCATTAGCAATAAAGTGGAGGCATTGCTTTTATGGGTTCTGGGACACCGTCAGCAACAAAGTGGAGGCATTGTATTTATGGGTTCTGGGAACACCGTAAGCAATAAAGTGGAGGCATTGTTTTTATGGGTTCTGGGACACCGTCAGCAATAAAGTGGAGGCATTGTTTTAAGGGTTCTGGGACACCGTCAGCAATAAAGAGGAGGCATTGTTTTTAAGGGTTCTCGGACACTGTCAGCAACAAAGTGGAGGCATTGTATTTATGGGTTCTGGGACACCGTCAGCAATAAAGTGTAGGCATTGTTTTCATGGGTTCTGGGACACTGTCACGAATAAAGTGGAGGCTTGTTTTCATAGGTTCTGGGACACCGTTAGCAATAAAGTAGAGGCATTGTTTTCATGGATGTTGGGACACCGTTAGCAATAAAGTGGAGGCATTGTTTTCATAAGTTCTGGGACAACGTTAGCAGTATATTGGAGGCATTGTTTTCATGGGTTCTGGGACACCGTCAGCACTAAAGTGGAGGCGTTGTTTTCATGGGTTCTCTAAAACCGTTGACATTAAAGTGGAGGCATTGTTTTTATGGGTTCTGGGACACCGTCAGCACTAAAGTGGAGGCATTGTTTTCATGGATGTTGGGAGACCGTTTGACATGCAGTGGAGGCTTGTTTTCATAGGTTCTGGGACACCGTTAGCAATAAAGTAGAGGCATTGTTTTCATGGATGTTGGGAGACCGTTAGAAATACAGTGGAGGCATTGTTTTTCAGGGTTCTGGGACACCGTTAGCAATAAAGTGGAGGCATTGTTTTCATAAGTTCTGGGACAACGTTAGCAGTATATTGGAGGCATTGTTTTCATGGGTTCTGGGACACCGTCAGCACTAAAGTGGAGGCATTGTTTTCATGGGTTCTGTGAAACCGTTGACATTAAAGTGGAGGCATTGTTTTTATGGGTTCTGGGACACCGTCAGCAATAAAGTGGAGGCATTGTTTTTAAGGGTTCTGGGGCATCGTCAGCAATAAAGTGGAGGCATTGTTTTCTTGGGTTCTGGGACATTGTCAGCAACAAAGTAGAGGCATTGTATTTATGGGTTCTGGAACACCGTCAGCAACAAAGTGGAAGCATTGTTTTTAAAGAGTTCTGGGACACCGTCAGCACTAAAGTGGAGGCATTGTTTTTCAGGGTTCTGGGAGACCGTTAGCAATAAAGTGGAGGCATTGTTTTCATAAGTTCTGAGACAACGTTAGCAGTAAAGTGGAGGCATTGTTTTCATGGTTTCTGGGACACCGTCAGCAATAAAGTGGAGGCATTGTTTTCATGGGTTCTGGGAAACCATTAGCAATAAAGTTGAGGCATTGTTTTTATGGATTCTGGGACACCGTCAGCAATAAAGTGGAGGCATTGTTTTCATGGGTTCTGGGAAACCATTAGCAATAAAGTGGATGCTTGTTTTCAAAGGTTCTGGGAAACCATCAGCAATAAAGTGGAGGTATTGTTTTGGGGGGTTCTGGGACACCGTCAGCAATAAAGTGGAGGCATTGTTTTTATGAGTTCTTGGACACCGTCAGCAATAAAGTGGAGGCATTGTTTTCATGGGTTCTGGGTCACCGTCAGCATTAAAGTGGAGGCATTGTTTCCATGGAGTTCTGGGACACTGTCAACAATAAAGTGGAGGCATTGTTTTTATGGGTTCTGGTAAACCGTTAGCAATAAAGTGGAGTCTTGTTTTGATAGGTTCTGGGAAACTATTAGCAATAAAGTGGAGGCATTGTTTTTATGGGTTCTGGGAAACCGTCAGCAATAAAGCGAAGGCATTGTTTTCTTGGAGATCTTGCACACTGTCAAGAATAAAGTGGAGGCTTGTTTTCATCGGTTCTGGGAAACCATTAGCAATAAAGTGGAGGCATTGGTTTTTTGGGGTTCTGGGACACCGTCAGCAATATAGTTACGGCTTGTTTTCATAGGTTCTGGGACACCGTTAGCAGTAAATTGGAGGTACTGTTTTCATGGGTTCTGGGACACCGTCAGCAATACAGTGGAGGCATTGTTTTCATAGGTTCTGGGAAACCGTTAACAGTAAAGTGGAGGCATGGTTTTCATGGGTTCTGGGACACCGTCAGCAAAAAGTGGAGGCATTGTTTCCATGGAGTTCTGGGACACTGTCAACAACAAAGTGGAGGCATTGTTTCCATGTGTTCTGGTAAACCGTTAGCAGTAATTTGGAGGGATTGTTTTCATGGGTTCTGGGACACCGTCAGCAATACAGTGGAGGCATTGTTTTCATAGGTTCTGGGAAACCAGTAGCAGTAAAGTGGAGGCATGGTTTTCATGGGTTCTGGGAAGCCGTCAGCAGTAAAGTGGAGGCATGGTTTTCATGGGTTCTGGAAGACCATCAGCAATACAGTGGAGGCATTGTTTTCATGAGTTCTGGGAAACCGTCAGCAGTAAAGTGGAGGTATGGTTTCCATGGAGTTCTGGTAAACCATTAGCAATGAAGTTGAGTCTTGTTTTCATCGGTTCTGGGAAACCATTAGGAATGAAGTGGAGGCATTGGTTTTTTGGGTTCTGGGACACTGTCAACAATAAAGTGGAGGCATTGTTTTCATGGGTTCTGGTAAACCGTTAGCAATAAAGTGGAGTCTTGTTTTGATAGGTTCTGGGAAACTATTAGCAATAAAGTGGAGGCATTGTTTTTATGGGTTCTGGGAAACCGTCAGCAATAAAGCGAAGGCATTGTTTTCTTGGAGATCTTGCACACTGTCAAGAATAAAGTGGAGGCTTGTTTTCATCGGTTCTGGGAAACCATTAGCAATAAAGTGGAGGCATTGGTTTTTTGGGGTTCTGGGACACCGTCAGCAATATAGTTACGGCTTGTTTTCATAGGTTCTGGGACACCGTTAGCAGTAAATTGGAGGTACTGTTTTCATGGGTTCTGGGACACCGTCAGCAATACAGTGGAGGCATTGTTTTCATAGGTTCTGGGAAACCGTTAACAGTAAAGTGGAGGCATGGTTTTCATGGGTTCTGGGACACCGTCAGCAAAAAGTGGAGGCATTGTTTCCATGGAGTTCTGGGACACTGTCAACAACAAAGTGGAGGCATTGTTTCCATGTGTTCTGGTAAACCGTTAGCAGTAATTTGGAGGGATTGTTTTCATGGGTTCTGGGACACCGTCAGCAATACAGTGGAGGCATTGTTTTCATAGGTTCTGGGAAACCAGTAGCAGTAAAGTGGAGGCATGGTTTTCATGGGTTCTGGGACACCGTTAGCAATAAAGTGGAGGCATTGTTTTCATGAGTTCTGGGAAGCCGTCAGCAATAAAGTGGAGGCATTGTTTTCATGAGTTCTGGGAAGCCGTCAGCAGTAAAGTGGAGGCATGGTTTTCATGGGTTCTGGGAAGCCGTCAGCAGTAAAGTGGAGGCATGGTTTTCATGGGTTCTGGAAGACCATCAGCAATACAGTGGAGGCATTGTTTTCATGAGTTCTGGGAAACCGTCAGCAGTAAAGTGGAGGTATGGTTTCCATGGAGTTCTGGTAAACCATTAGCAATGAAGTTGAGTCTTGTTTTCATCGGTTCTGGGAAACCATTAGGAATGAAGTGGAGGCATTGGTTTTTTGGGTTCTGGGACACCGTCAGCAGTAAAGTGGATGCATTGTTTTCATGGGTTCTGGGACACCGTCAGCAATAAAGTGGAGACATTGTTTTTAAGGGTTCTGGGACACCGTTAGCAATGAAGCGGAGGCTTGTTTTCATGGGTTCTGGGAAAGCATTAGCAATACAGTCGAGGCATTGTTTTCATAGGTTCTGGGAAACCGTTAGCAATAAAGTGGAGGCTTGTTTTCATAGGTTCTGTAACACCGTCAGCAATAAAGTGGAGGCTTGTTTTCATAGGTTCTGGGACACCGTTAGCAATAAAGTGGAGGCATTGTTTTCATGGGTTCTGGGAAACCGTTAGCAGTAAAGTGGAGGCATGGTTTTCATGGGTTCTGGGACACCGTCAGCAATAAAGTGGAGGCATTGTTTCCATGGAGTTCTGGGACACTGTCAACAATAAAGTGGAGGCATTGTTTCCATGGGTTCTGGTAAACCGTTTGCAGTAAATTGGAGGCATTGTTTTCGTGGGTTCTGGGACACCGTCAGCAACAAAGTGGAGGCATTGTTTTTAAGGGTTCTGGGACTCTGTCAGCAATAAAGTGGAGGCATTGTTTTTATGAGTTCTGGGACACCGTCAACAATAAAGTGGAGGCTAGTTTTCATAGGTTCTGGGAAACCAGTAGCAGTAAAGTGGAGGCATTCTATTGATGGGTTCTGGGACGACGTTAGCAATAAAGTGGAAGCATTGTTTTTATGGGTTTTGGGACACCATTAGCAATGAAGTGGAGGCTTGTTTTCATAGGTTCTTAAAAACCATTGGCATTAAAGTGGAGGCATTGTTTTCATGGGTTCTGGGACACCGTCTGCAATAAAGTGGAGGCATTGTTTTCATAGGTTCTGGGACACCGTTAGCAGTAAAGTGGAGGCATTGTTTTTATGGGTTCTAGGAGACCATCAGCAATACAGTGGAGGCATTGTTTTCATGGGTTCTGGGAAACCGTTAGCAGTAAAGTGGAGGCATTTTTTTTAAGGGTTCTTGGACACCGTCAGCAATAAAGTGGAGGCATTGTTTTTCTGGGTTCTGGGAAACCGTTAGCAATAAAGTGGAGGCATTGTTTTCTGGGTTCAATAAAGGGAAACCATCAGCAATGGGTGGAGGCATTGTTTTTAAGGGTTCTGGAACACCGTGAGCAATAAAGTGGAGGCATTGTTTTTAAGGGAGGCAGTACTTACATGGATCCTGGGAGAATTAGCAGTAAAGTGAAGCCTACACGGATTCTGGGAAACCATTAGCAATAAAGTGGAGGCATTATTTTCATGGGTTCTGGGACATCGTCAGCAATAAAGTGGAGGCAGTGCTACGTGGGTCCTGACGGGGAACTTACCTTTTTGGATTGATGGCGATCCCACTGCTGAACGTCTTTGGGCAGGGAGCCCACAATATGGCGAAGGGCGCTGAAGGCGTGGAAGGACTCACGACCAAACCTGTCTAGAGTGTTGTGAACGGCGATTCCCACATTGTGTAAACAGATAGCTATTTCCACGTCTTCGTCCATCCCAGACTTCAGGCACATGTTCTGAACAAGGACCTAACTATTAGTGAGTGAGCGAACAAGGGAAATTGTTTTAAACACAGAAGTGAGCAATATACAAGTTATATCACGCTTTATGAATCACTCTCGCCTCCATTTGGATTGCATGACAAATAATCCATAATTCAGATTGAGGTATGTTTTAGGACTAATGAGTCGTATGTGACCATCTCTTCTGGTGTCCCAGAAGGGGGACAACAAACTGACGCTTAGTCTTTGAATACATATGTTGAAACAAAGAACCATGTAAGTTCAAAGGGAGTCAAAGTACTTGCTTCGTTAAGGGCTCTTGCATTACAATAATGGCTGCTTGGAACGAAGAACAATATGTTTTGGGACAGGAAGTACACACAAGCGTGAGGATACTTAAGACTCTGCATTTATCAATCTAATGCACACCACGCCTTTTGTGAGGCAAAATTGTTGTCTAAGACATATGATTTCCAATGAACAAATTGGAGAGAAAGGCGTATGATCACACAATAAGGAAACACTTTGCCATTATCTATAACCAATACACAGCCTTTAATGTTGTCATAGCAATGGGTAGGAAACTAAAATTAAGGCTGACCAATGTATTGACCTCTTCAGGAAACTCACGGACCTGACATGTCAGGAGTTTTTTTGACTAAAATGTAATGGAATTTGTATCTTGACAATGATGACAACAACATACCTCTGTATTGTACCCCTTTTCCACCAAAAGTCGTACAGCCTCTCTGCTAAGCACGTAGCCAGCGCCGCCGCTCATATAGCCCCAGCTGGAATATTTCTTGAACAGGTGACCCACATACACCCCCTCACTCGCGTTATAGTGGGACAACAAAAACTTCAGGTTCTCCATCACCACGAATGTATCATCGTCTGCTTTCAGAAACCAGTCATAATTGTTCAGATGATGTTTGTATATATACTTTAAAGACGCTATTGTCTTTTCCGTCAAATACTCGCGGCCATCTTTGATGTGTAGGTCAACTATTTCTTTTCTTGGATATTTTTTAGTCGTTGTCATGACAAACATTCTGTTATCGCAGCGTCTTGCCCAAGTCGCCTTGACTGCCGCCATTTTATTGTGGACTTCCTTTTCCCTTGTTGTTATCCAACAGAAGATCTTTACTTTTGATAAGGTATCCATAGCAACGGAATCATCTACTAAAACTGAAACGTAATGATACATTAATTCTTAAGATCTGGCAAATAAATTTGTAATTCAGCCTGCCAGTGAGTTGGGGTTTTAGTAGTATAGGGAATGATATTTTTAGACCAGTCCCTAATAAGTAATATTTTTACGATCCATTGCCCCTGTGCGAGTAAGAATATGGTTGGAATGATGGTCGACCATCATTCGACGTCTGTAAAATTATAAGTGAAAGTACGAGGATACATGCAAACATTCATGAAAATCGGTCGACTAGTTTAAGAAATATTCACTTTTTAGTGAGCATGGGGGTCGGTCGGGTGAAAGGCTAACTATCCAAGGTATTGCCGTACTTGTTATAAAGTAGCGAGGTGAGGTCGTCTGAAGCTAAGCAGATAGCAACTCTCCGTAGTACGCCCGGTCAATATCTCACCTCGCTGACACACGCCAGCTCGGTTTGCAATCTCAGACTGTCAGACAGTCGTTAGCTGTGCGTATGACTCGGGTAAAGACCTCGGACTCCGATGAGCAATCCCCTCTGCGGCTGGAGTAAACACAGCAATCCCAATACATGGCGAGCTGTCTCTCCCGACAATTGATAAGTGGCTCGCCGAGCTACACTGAGCTTCCTAACACGGTATCACGGGGCACAAGTTGTAATTCCTTTCGCGAGAATCCTCGGTTCGGCCCGTCTTTGAGATAATACAGATTGCGTTCGCTGTTTTTAATGCTGACTCGGTCAAAGTTGTACGTTTTCATGGACCATATTGGATCAGTAGGATGTTTTCTGCTATCTCACTCATATTCACCCGGCTGTTACAAGTACCTAATGTCCGGTAATGTTTTCTGTTTTAGTGCGACGTGCTGCTGACGATTCGGTGGTGCAGGATTTCATTTTGATGGCTTGGATGGGTCTCTTGCCCACGAGGCTAGTGACTTCCTTGTTGATGGCTGCCACCAATTGCGGCAAACGTACAACCCATTCTGTAGATCTATTTCCGGGATTGATTAAATCCTGTGAGTACTGGTGTGAGAATAGGCGTTCAGCTGTGGTGCGATTAAATCTCTCGACAATGGCTTGGCTGGGGTGGGCTCCCGCTATACCGCGTCTCACCTGGACTTTGTGCTTGGCCAGCAGCTGTGACACGGTTCCCATAAACTCGTGTCCAGGATCGATTTGCAAGATGGCAGGCCAGGTTAATGGACTACGTTTGTGTACGCATTCTAATGCTTTGGCGACTTCGGTAGAATCTTTCATTGTTAATGGTTCGGCTTCTTTGTAGTGACTGGCGACATCCATAGTTGACAGGGCATACTTATAGGTTTTACGTCTCACTCTGTCGTGAGGTAGAAACAAGAGGTCGGCTTGATGCACTCTATTCGGTGTTGAAATATCGAATTTTCTTCTCGGGATGTACCGAGGCGCCGGCAGGTAAACTTGCCAGAGAACTCGTTTTTTAAGGCAAGCTTTAGCGACGTCTTCGGAGATTAGAACGGCCTGCACCTTTCCAGTATCCTCGTGGGCTGTAATCAATTTTCTCCATGATGTATTATTATTTTTTTAATTACTTAATATATGTGTGTGTCCGTACACATAAGTATTTACCTCGTCAATGGCAATCCATCGTTTCATGTCCATGGGAGACAGCGACGTCTTGTTAATTTTCAGACCGTAACAGGGCTTCTTGGAATCAATCGTGCTTGATATGTTTTTTTCACCACATTTTTTCCATGCATTTCGCCTTTCTGATATCATTATTGTCTGCTTTCTTGATCGAATACATTTTAGGTCCCAAGCTGATATATTCCACGATCGGTGACCCGCGCATTCATCTTTCATTTTACCTAACACTTTTTTGTTGACTTGGCTAAGCAGCGGATGGTCATTGGGATAATCGCTCGTATCGTACATGTCTATTTTTTTCTGCTATGTCCTGGTACACGTCCTCAGTGTGGATTTCCATCAGCAGCAAATCAGTGTCCTTGTACCACACCTCGCATCTATCGCCGTATTGCTTCTTGAGTTCGTTGTAATAAAAGTCGTATCAAGTGTTTGGATAAGTCGAGGATGCTCATCCCCACATAAACAGGCCGGTTGAATTTGATGTGACTCTTGTTCATGTGCAATGCTACCAAGTTGTCATTGAATATTTTACTTCTGTTGAATGCCGTGATGGCTATTACTTTCCTAAGTCTTTCCTCCTCCTTTGTTCTGTCTAATTTGACATTAACACTTTTTCTCAAATTCAACATGGTTTTACCAAACACGGAGTTGTACATGAGCTTTATAGAGTCTTTTCAAAATCGCTGGTGGCTAGTTTTCGTAAATCCGTGTTCATCCTTATGTAAGGCTCCATCCAAGGACTTTGATCAAACATGAGTACCCTGTGAATTTTCTTAAGTTTTATTCCCAACGACAAGTACAGCTGCACATTTATATCGTGAACAATGTATTTTTTCTTATTCATTAAGTTTGGTACGAGTTTTTTAAGGTTGGTCGTCAACAAGTTTCATTGATATTCGGACATCCAATCCGGGTTCACGATTAATTGTTCAGGAGCGAGCGGGTAACTGTTGTGCGATTCATGTAATTCTGCGGGATATTCCAGGTCAACTTCGGATATGTAACCTTTGTTTGCGTCAAGATAAAGAATGTGCTTCGATGGCTGGCTGGGGTCGTAACCTGCCACAAATTTATTGTTGGCCTTCGCATACGGTTTAACAGCCATCAAAATCCCGCCTCGCAGGCCTTTCTCTATAAACAGAGGCATATCGTAACCCATCAATAGTTTCAGTTCTACACCTGTCTTTCTTAACAAGGCGTCCCAAGAGAGACCGGGGGAGGAGAAATACCATGCAGGGTCTAGGCCGTACTGTTTCAAACACGTTTTTCTTAATATCTCGAACACATCGGCTAGTAGCACTACATAAGTTTTCAAGTACAGATTGTGGTAGTCGCTTAAATTCTTACAGCCTAGTTTATCCCACACGTTGAGGGTGTGCTAGTAATCGTCGTCGGTTATTTTCTTTTCGGTTAAGTTGCTGTAAAAGCAGTCGATGGGAGGTAATATCGTTTCGGTGAATCTAGTCCAATCATTCATTTATTCGTAGGAGTAGACACCCTTCCTTGACCGTAGTCGTAGTCATGGTTGTATTTGCAAGAGAAAACGAACGTCTAATTGTTGGATACGATTTCAAGTGAAATGAATGTCTAACAGTTTGATATGACTTCGAGTGAAACGAATGTCTAACAGTTTGCTATGTTTTTGAGTGAAACGAATGGCTATACCCAGCGCAACAAAGATTAGCTCTGGGTCTTTCTGATCTTCTGAAGGTGTGTAATATTGAGAGAGGTCGGGCTTGTCTTCCAATGGAGTCAATGTCTTTCCCATGACATAGTAAAATTCTTTCAAGGCATCAACGACATTTTTGAAAGTGCGCTCAGCGTGACCTTCTTGTCGGAGTTGGTTGGTGATGAAATCCATTCCCTGCATTCGTTTGTGAGCGTATTCAGCTTGTGCATCCTGTAATTGCTCCATGGCTAGATCATGACGTTTTCGTTCCTTATCTATCTCGGCGGCGTTCGATGTTCGTAAATAAGAAAAGAGATAATTGCTGCCAGAAAATGCCAGGGCATTGACTAATGCCCCGGAGACCATCCTCGCGATTGTGTCCATTATTCTCTATAATTTATTAATTTATTTTTTATTTCAATATGTTTTCTGGAATGATACATTGCTTGACGAGTATGTCTATGTGGCCATCACCAGCCCCAAGTCAAACACGAGCATGCCCATGTCTTGCAAGTTGAAATTGAGTTTGGGTGCTGGTTGTTTGGTGATCATTTTGCTTAATCGAGCGTAACCTATGGCCAGTCCGCTGACCATGGCAGCGTGAAACGCATCGTTGACGAATGTTTTTCCATCGGTTGTCAACTTCGTTGTATATAATAAAACAATTTTTCATATTTTTTTTTATAACATGATATGAGGGTTTACTTCTACTTGTTGTTGTTGTGACGGCATACGCAGTGGTGGTGGTGGTCGCGGTGCTGGTTTGAATTTGTACATCAAAGCGGTGATAGCAGTTGATGATGATTTTTATTTTTTCTGGTTTTGGCTATCACGCCTTTTTGACCAGCGGCTACTTTTTTAGGGTTCTTTTTTCTGGTTATGGTATCAATCGGTGACTGATCCTCCTCCGTCTGTTGTTGTTCAGGGGCAGCATCCGTCGACGACATCTGATATATTATTATCAATGTTTTGCCATGATGATTGCTGCGGTCAGCTGAGCCAGTAGCATGCCATACTGGTGGTATAGCTCACAACTGATGGAGCTCAATGTGTGGGCGACGAACGGATCCGCGTCGAGGTCTACGCACATGTACAGTCGACGGTCTAGTTAAATGGGAAGGAGATACGAAGCTATGCTGGTGAACATTTGTTTTAGTAGATCGTCGCTCTCCATCTTATAATAATACGCTAATGTAAGTTTTAATCTAAATAACAAAATCCCACGCAGACGAGACAGCGACAGAAATGTTAAGTGACATAAAACGTGAATTTCGAATATCATTTTTGCTTAAGCTTTGCTTAAATCTTGCTTAAATTTTTGTCAGTAGTGTGGTAAGATTTGCTAGTAGTTTTGCTTAGATTTGTTAGGAGTTTGCTAGTAGTTTTGCTAAATTTTGCAAGTAGTTTTATAAATTCTTGCTAGTTTGCTACTGCATATGCTACAGGTTGGTCCGTTTTTAATATGAGTTCGGCGATTTTCGTTTTTGACAACAGATTTTTCACACGCTCACGCTCCTGTTTGGAAGGGATCACGTCATTTTCTCGCAAACATTCTTCAAACGAATCCCTGTCCTTGCAGTGAAATAAGGAGATCCATCGCGTTTGTTCCTGCAGATCTTTCGGGACCGAGTTGAATTTTTGCATCAAAACCCACACGCTGTGTTTCATGTGCTGGCCGGAAAAGGCCAGGTACGACAGCATATCTCGTTTTTTAACGATTTCTTTGT